AGGGTAGTTCCACTTTATTGCCGTTACACTGCAATTTATATAAGCAAGCAAGTAGGGGCTTTCCATGAACTAACCAGTCAATTAAAGGATCATGTGCAGGCATGCATTTTGTACTAACATGTTGAGCATAGTGATCACGCAGGGTTCACAAGTGCAGAAATACTGGAGGACCAATAAAAACCTTTTGGAGGGCCGGCCCGGTGGCGCACTGGATAGTGTGCCGCTTGGGAAGCGCGGCAGCGCTCCCGTCCGAGGGTTCGGATCCCACATACAGACCGGCTCCCGCTCGCTGGCTGAGCGAGGTGCGGGAGCAACACCGAGGTTTGCAATCCCGTTGCCGGTCCCTGGTCCGGTACGGGGGCAACACTGAGGGTTGCGATCCGTTGCCGGACACGGAAAAAAAAAAAAAAGACAAAAAAAAAAAAAAAAAAGATTACTGTGGATTTTTTGAAGGGCGATATTTACCCAAGGGTTTTGGGGGTTTTTCTTGGGCCACATTTCCTACCACTTGGGTGAGCATAATTATGGATCCTAGATTTTGTCGATGAGAGCCATGATTTTAGTATAAATTAAAGGACCAAACATTGCCACTGAGAGGAGGATTAAGAGGGGGCGTGCTAAGGCAGATATTAAGGTGGTAAGCCAGGGAGAACTGTTAAACCAAGATTGATACCAGCTCTCATTGGCTCTCTCTCTGTCTTTCCAAGCTCTCTCTAACCTTTCTCATAGATTCTTTTACTATTCCTGAATGGTTGGCATAAAAGCAACATTCTTCCCTGAGAGCTGCACATAAGCCTCCCTGTTGTAAAAATAGGAGGTCTAATGCCCTTCTATTTTGTAATACAACTTCAGAAAGAGAAGTTAATGATTTTTGCAAATGGATAATTGATGTTTCAAGCCTATCTAGATCTATGTCTATAGCCTCCCTTAAAGCTTGTGTATGGGAGCGCCTACAATCCCCAATAAAGTACTAATGGTAACAGCAGCCCCTATTGCCCTTTACTGCAGTGAGGAAAGTTACTTGTCTAGTATTGAAGCATTTCTTCTGCTTTATGCAATAATATTTGGGGAACAATATCTACTGATACACAAGTTTCATGAGATAAGGATAAACATGCAAGCAGTAAGCCCTGATTTGGTACATAATCATTGCCCAAGGCTGGGTTTAGCCCAGGTGCTGTTGAGCATAATGGTATTGGAACAAAGGGAGGGGTTGTTTACACCAACACATAATCCTTTTCCCAACATATGTTGTATGGTTAAACCAGGATGAGTTCTGTTGTAATTAATGGCACACTGGGTGCTGTTAGTGGGGAAGATGGTTACATTACTTAACGCCACAGCCTCAAAATATGGGGGATGAGCATCATAACATAACCAATAATCTTTTGTCCAGGTTTGTTGCACTGGTAGGTGATTGGTTCCCCATGTGCTGGAGAGCCAGATGGTCCATAGGATGACCAGGTGATGCATCATGTTGCTGTTGATGGTGTTAAGGACAAAGGCAATCAGGATTGGAGTGAAACTCTCCCTGGAGGATTAAGAGGCAGGTTCAACCTGGTTGTCACATAAGTCTCCTGAAAGAGAAGAAATTGGCCTCAGGGTTGTTGTCCCTAGGCTGGGTTATTGGTTCAAGATTTTGAGGTACAAATTTAAGGTTTTTGGCTGATATCCATATGGGGCAGGGTTTGTCAAAGGGAAATACACACCCAAATCCCCTTCCCATAGTTAGGAGTGGGTCAGGTCCTCTCCAGTGTCCGGAAATGGGGTCTTTCCATCTAACTTGTGCCTTGGGCTTTATGTCTTGATTAGACCAGTGCTTTTGAAAAGGTGTCATTAGCTCATTTTTGGAAAAATTTAGAATGCTGTATGGAATACCTGTGGTGTGGCGAATGCACCAGCTTGAAAGGAGCTCCTGAAATGCACGGCTAACAAAACAGGGGCCATTATCAGTTTTAATTGGATTGGGGAGTCCAAGTGTTGCAAAACATTGTAAAAGGTGACTTTGGGCATGTCAAGCCTTTTCCCCTGAATGAGCGGTAGCACAGCAGGCATGAGAATAGGTATCAACAGTAACAAAAACATACTTGAGCTTTCTAAAAGGAGAAAAATGAGTAATAGCAATTTGCCATAATATGTTGGGTTTTAATCCCCTAGGGTTAACTCCTGGGGATTGTAAAGGGGGCACCTGTAAGGAAGGCAAAACTTACAAGTATGAACAATCTTTTTTAAATCTTTACTAGGGATTTGCAGGAACTGTTTATGTAGGCCCTTCCAATTTATATGAGTTAGGGCATGGAGATTAGATGCATCTTGTAAAGTTAAAACATGGGGGTTAGAAGAGGCTGTTTTGTCTGCTAAAAAGTTTCCTAGTGAAAGTAGACCCAGCAATTTTTGATGGCCTCTAAGATGCTGTATATAGATGGGTTGGGCCTGTTTGAATAACAATGACCAGGCCTGTATCATAAGAGGCGTAATTGGGTTGTTATCTACACGAATATGGGAATTAAGCAACCCTGGCAGCAAATTAGTCGCATACAAACTGTCAGGAAATAAATTTATGGGTCCTGAGACCTTATTAAGTGCTAAAACTGTAGCTAAGAGTTCTTTAAACTGTGCAGATCCTTCACAGGGGTCATAGTACTTTTGAGGGACAATGTTAGATGACAGTTGTTTTACATGTGGCAAAAAGACAATAACAGCAGCCTCATGTTTACCCCCATCGTGAACACATTACGGGCATCAGGCATGGGTTTGTGTAGAAATAATTGAGGTGCTCTCCAGTTTAAACGGCCAAAAGAAGTGACCCACTTATAAGGCCCGTAGTGACAATCAAGGATGCCAGCGAAACCCTGTAGTGCCAAGACCATTCTAGGATTGTTTCTGTAGATCCATTCTAGGTCACTCAATTGGTTTGGAACAATTATTTTGTTAGGTTCCCATGCATAGCATCAGAGTGCTATGTCCCTTCCCTTTTGTGTTAAGTCAGCCATTTGGTCTATATAGGTATAGACTAGAGGGAATCCCCCCAGAGATATATGAATCCATTGTAAGGGGTTTCCCCCTTGAACTAGGACTGCCATGAGGATGGTGGGATTAGGCAGAATCCATAATTGCAAGTCTTTTGAGGGAGAGTATCTAGCAAGCTGAGCCTGGTTGAGAGAATTTTGAACCTCTTGTAAGAGCTGTTTATGTGCAACTGAAAGCGAGATTTTATCATGAGGCAGGCTGTCCCTTAATAGGTTAAAAAGAGGTAACAGCTGGCCCATTGAAATGGGAATCCAGAGCTGTAGCCAAATAATTTCACCTAAAAGGCGTTGTAAATCAACCAAAGAACAAGAATCTGGGATACAAAGTTGAGGTTTTAAAGGACTAATGCCTTGCAAGGTTAACTGGGTACNCAAAAACATGCTTGAGCTTTCTAAAAGGAGAAAAATGAGTAACATCAATTTGCCATCATATGTTGGGTTTTAATCCCCTAGGGTTAACTCCTGGGGATTGTAAAGGGGGCACCTGTAAGGAAGGCAAAACTTACAAGTATGAACAATCTTTTTTAAATCTTTACTAGGGATTTGCAGGAACTGTTTATGTAGGCCCTTCCAATTTATATGAGTTAGGGCATGGAGATTAGATGCATCTTGTAAAGTTAAAACATGGGGGTTAGAAGAGGCTGTTTTGTCTGCTAAAAAGTTTCCTAGTGAAAGTAGACCCAGCAATTTTTGATGGCCTCTAAGATGCTGTATATAGATGGGTTGGGCCTGTTTGAATAACAATGACCAGGCCTGTATCATAAGAGGCGTAATTGGGTTGTTATCTACACGAATATGGGAATTAAGCAACCCTGGCAGCAAATTAGTCG